AAATAAGTTGGGTTAACCTGAAACTAATGCTTGACCTGAACCTCATCCCTAGTTGCAGGTATTATTGTTGCCTACTGTGTCATATGGTCATGATCCTACACAGCTTTGTCAGTGCTTCCTCTAATGACAATAAGAGGTTCACAATGCAACCAGAGTCCTTGCTGATCAACTTCTGTAAAAAATGAATTTTCAAGCATAGCCAAGTAGGGCGCTATATTTGAAGATTGTGACTGTGACTGTAGATCTTACTGTGTTTTCCTCACAGTGACCATTCCACTTTTTTCTTTCGTTTTGCCAGAGCTAGTCATTGCCCAGTGCTAGAGCTGGCCATTGGCCTTCGCTAGAGCCGATCGCTGGACATTGCTAGAGGTGATCACTGGACATTGCTAGAGGTGATCACTGGACATTGCTAGAGATGGTCACAGGACATTACTTGAGCTGGTCACTAGCCATTCCTAGAGCTGGTCACTGGCCATTGATAGAGCTGGTCACTGGACACTGCTAGAGCTGGTCACAGGACACTGCTAGAGCTGGTCACAGGACATTGCTAGAGCTGATCACTGGACATTGCTAGAGCTGATCACTGGACATTGCTTGAGCTGGTCACTGGCCATTGATAGAGATGGTCATTGCTATTGCTAGAACTGGTCATTGAACATTGTTACAGCTGGTTACAGGACATTGCTTGAGCTGGTCACTGGACATTGCTAGAGATGATCACAGGACATTGCTTGAGCTGGTCACTAGCCATTCCTAGAGCTGGTCACTGGCCATTCATAGAGCTGGTCACTGGACACTGCTAGAGCTGGTCACAGGACATTGCTTGAGCTGGTCACTGGACATTGCTAGAGCTGGTCACTGGCCATTGCTTGAGCTGGTCACTAGCCATTGCTAGAGCTGGTCACTGGCCATTGATAGAGCTGGTCATTGAACATTGTTAGAGCTGGTCACAGGACATTGCTTAAGCTGGTCACTGGACATTGCTAGAGATGGTCACAGGACATTGCTTGAGCTGGTCACTAGCCATTCCTAGAGCTGGTCACTGGCCATTGATAGAGCTGGTCACTGGACACTGCTAGAGCTGGTCACGGGACACTGCTAGAGCTGGTCACGGGACACTGCTAGAGCTGGTCACGGGACACTGCTAGAGATGATCACAGGACATTGCTTGAGCTGGTCACTGGCCATTGCTAGAGCTGGTCACTGGCCATTGATAGAGCTGGTCACTGGACACTGCTAGAGCTGGTCACGGGACACTGCTAGAGCTGATCACGGTAGATTGCTAGAGCTGATCACGGTACATTGCTAGAGCTGATCACGGTACATTGCTAGAGCTGGTCACAGGACATTGCTAGAGCTGGTCATTGGGCATTGTTAAAGCTGGTCATTGGACATTGTTAAGAGTGGGTTTCTAGACATTTCTAGAGCTGATTATTGGACATTGATAGAGCTGGTCATTGGACATTGTTAGAGCTGATCACAGGCCATTGCTAAAGCTAGTCACAGGACATTGCTAGAGCTGGTCATTGGATATTGCTAGAGCTGGTCATTGGACATTTCTAGAGCTGATTAATAGACATTGTAAGAGCTGGTCATTGGTCATTGCTAGAACTGGTTATTGGACATTGTTATAGCTGGTCATTGGTCATTGCTAGAGCAGGTCACTGGAAATTGCTGGAGCTGGCCACTGGAGATTGCTAGAGCTGGTCACCAGACATTGCTGGAGCTAGTCACCAGACATTGCTGGAGCTGGTCATTGGACATTTCTGGAGCTGATCACCAGGCAATGGTAGAGCTGATCACCAGATGTTACTGGATCTGGTCACTGGACATTGCTAGAGCTGGTCATTGGACATTGCTAGAGCTGGTCACTGGATATTGCTAGAGCTGATTATTGAACATTGCTAGAGCTAGTCATTTGTTAGTCATTGGACAGCTCTGTTTTTTTCTAGGCACCAGCTGCTGAGACTTTGTTATGGATGATGACCCAGTAGATTTAGGATTGCATGTGAAGTGTCTGTTCTAAGCCACCCATACCAAAAGCCACCTACCTCTACTGTTTTCTCTCCACAGTCCTACAAAGACTCCAGGGCCATTCACTCAGCATTAACATAACCCATCATATGATTTTACAGTGAAAGTGCCCTCCACACGTACATATATGCAGTAATGGGAGTTTTCTTGCACTTTATATATATTTTTATTTGTATATTATGCATGATTTATTTTTAAATTTATTCAATTTATAAATTTAATTCATTAAGAAAAGTAAAAGAGAACATTCTGAATAGGTGTTTTCCATGGTGCATAAACCTGCATGACACAGGAAATGCCCCGGAACTACGCACATTAACAGAGATTCAGCATGTCCTATATTGTATTATTATTATTATTATACAGTATTTATAAAGCACCAATAGTTCGCTCAGCGCTGTACATTACAAAGGGGGACAGAACATGTGACAGAACAATACCAATACAATGCAAAACATGAGGGGATTGAGGGCCCTGCTCTTTCGAGCTTACAATCTAGGAGGGAGGGGATGGTGGCACAGGAGGAGATAGCTGTGGGGGATGGGGTGGTAGGAAGAGTGGAGGAGGTCGGCAGGTCAGCAGGGGGTGGGGTAGGCTTCCCTGAAGAGATGGGTTTTCAGGGTGCGCCTAAAGGAGAGGAGAGTAGGTGATAATCTGATGGGTTGGGGCAGGGAGTTCCAGAGGATGGGTGACACCCTGAAGAAGTCCTGGAGGCGGGCATGGGGGAGGAGGAGACCAGCGAACTAGAGAGAAGGAGGTCTTGTGAAGAGCGGAGTGTGCGTGTTGGGCGGTACTTGGATATTAGGTCAGTGATGTAGTTCGGGGCAGTATGGTGGACATCTTTGTATGTCATTGTTAGGATTTTGAATTTGATCCGTTGCGCAATCGGAAGCCAGTGGAGGGAATGGCAGAGGGGGGGGGGGGGGGTGGAGGCCAGTGGAGGGATTGGCAGAGGGGGGGTGGAGGCCAGTGGAGGGATTGGCAGAGGGGGGTGGAGGACACTGAGTGGAGGCCAGTGGAGGGATTGGCAGAGGGGGGTGGAGGACACTGAGTGGAGGCCAGTGGAGGGATTGGCAGAGGGGGGTGGCGGAGACAGAGCGGTTGGAAAGGTGAATGAGTCTGGCTGCCGTATTCAGGATGGACTGAAGTGGGGATAGCCAGCGGCGAGGCAGGCTAGTGAGGAGGGAGTTGCAGTAGTCGAGTCGTGATACGATGAGGTAGTGGATGAGCTGTTTAGTGGTTTCTGGGGTTAGGAACGTGCGGATTTTGGTGATGTTGCGGAGGTGGAGTCTGCACGAGTTTGTTAAAGATTGGACTTGGGGCTGGAAGGATAGGTTGGAGTCCAGAATGACACCAAGTACTCTGGCCTGCGGGGCGGGTTTGATGGTAGCATTGTTGGATGTGATGGAGAAGTCAATGGGGGGTGGGGTCCGGGCTGGGGGGAAGACAAGAAACTCGGTTTTGGAGAGGTTCAGTTTAAGGAAGTGGAGCGACATCCAGTCTGATATGTCGCTCAGCAGGTGTGTGATTCGGGCGGAGACCGAATATATTTGGGCACAGTTCTTGGAGCACTGCAAGGCAAGAGCCCTCAGTTATGGATCTGCCCAGCAGTCTCACATACAAAACATACAAAGAAGGAATTCAATTTGTAGAGGTGGGACCCCAAAATCTTCAGATCAGATTGGAAACTCCAGTAGTTGATGTCAGTGTTCTCAGATACGACGTCCAGCCTCCTCGTCACTTCCACTGAGGATCAGCAGAGAGCGGTCACGTGTAGTACTTCCAGCCACTGAATACATGGAAATAGTTCAATTCTATATTCTGTCCTCAGCTGCTGCCGGGTTCTCAAATATTTCCTTATACTCATCGTCTTGTATAGAAATGTTATTTTCTGCTTTCCCTCTTTTGTTACTCTACAATATACAAAAAATAGAAAAATGTTAGTGATACAAAAAAATATAATGGAAATGTAAGGATCAAGAATTTGTGTGTAGGGATGTAGTATTTTTACTAAATTTCTTGTTTTAGTTTTGAACTCTGTAGGCAGCAGTGGGCTGTAGTTCATCCTAACTATAACAGGAGTTTCTCCAGTCGCAGAGGATGTTTTCTCTGCCATGTGTTGTTTGAGCTTGTTCCAGCAGGTTGTGCTAGAGAGGTATCGTTCTGTGTTATGGGTGTTTGATAGCCTGGCCAATCAGCATGTCTGGGGAACCTACATGTTATACAGTTATAGATTGGGGCAGTGACCAATTTTTTGTATTGTTGCTATATTCGTGAGGGGACGCACTGGACACCTTGGCTGCCATTGTGCTATATGCTGGGTGTCCAGTGATCCCCTGTGCCTTTAACCACTTCCTATCTGGACACTTTCCCCCCCTTCCAGTCCGGACACTTTCCCCCCTTCCAGTCCGGACACTTTCCCCCCCTTCCAGTCCGGAAACTTTCCCCCCCTTCCAGTCCGGACACTTTTACCTCCTTCCAGTCCGGACACTTTCCCCCCTTCCAGTCCGGACACTTTCACCCCCCTTCCAGTCCGGACACTTTCCCCCCCCTTCCAGTCCGGACACTTTCCCCCCTTCCAGTCTGGACACTTTTACCTCCTTCCAGTCCGGACACTTTCCCCCCCTTCCAGTCCGGACACTTTTACCTCCTTCCAGTCCAGACACTTTTACCTCCTTCCAGTCCAGACACTTTTACCTCCTTCCAGTCCGGACACTTTTACCTCCTTCCAGTCCGGACACTTTCCCCCCTTCCAGTCCGGACACTTTCACCCCCTTCCAGTCCGGACACTTTCCCCCCCTTCCAGTCCGGACACTTTTACCTCCTTCCAGTCCGGACACTTTCCCCCCTTCCAGTCCGGACACTTTCACCCCCCTTCCAGTCCGGACACTTTCACCCCCCTTCCAGTCCGGACACTTTCACCCCCCTTCCAGTCCGGACACTTTTACCTCCTTCCAGTCCGGACACTTTCACCCCCCTTCCAGTCCGGACACTTTCCCCCCTTCCAGTCCGGACACTTTCCCCCCCTTCCAGTCCGGACACTTTCACCCCCCTTCCAGTCCGGACACTTTCACCCCCCTTCCAGTCCGGACACTTTCACCCCCCTTCCAGTCCGGACACTTTCCCCCCTTCCAGTCCGGACACTTTCCCCCCCTTCCAGTCCGGACACTTTCCCCCCCTTCCAGTCCGGACACTTTTACCTCCTTCCAGGCCAGGGCAATTTTCAGCTTTCAGTGCTATCACACTTTGAATGACAATTGCACGGTCATGCAACACTGTACCCATATGAATTTTTTACCATTTTTTTGAGACAGATAAAACTTTATTTTGGTGGTATTTATTCACCGCTGGGATTTTTATTTTTTTTGCTATATAAATGAAAATGTCCAAAAATTTTCAAAAAAAGTGTTTTTCTTATAAAATTTTGCAAATAAATAATATTTCATCATAAATCTTGGCCAAAATTTATTCCGTTATCTTTTTAGTAAAAAAAAAAAAATATGCCAAATTAGTTGATAACCAAAAATTATAATTTTTAAAACATTTTTTTTTACATTTTTATTTTATTTTTTTATATTATTATTATTTGTTTTTTTTTTTTTTTTTTTTTTTACATACCGTCACCCTAGCAGTACAGTGTCACCATGGCGACAATGTACTGCTTGTGGGGGGTGATGAAGATTTTTACAGTGATTGCTTTTACACCCATATAGCATGTAAAAGCAATAATTTTTCTTTCTCTCTGTCTGCATTCTTGCAGCCATTGAGAAATACTGTGTGAGCTGTGATTGGTCAGAGCTTGTCACATGGTAAAAGGCTGTTGTGAATAGCCTTGTACCATGTGATCTCTGTGATCATTCACAGATTTCACACGTAGTAAGCAATGATGTCACAAGTGACATCTTGCTTACAACTTTGCATGTGATCACTGATTGGCCAAACAGTGATCACATGATCGGGACCTCGTACAGATGGTCGGTGTTTCACTGTGTCCGGAAGACACAGCGGGCACCGGAGCGCGGTGCTGCGCGCTCCCAGGGAGCGCGCACAACTAGAAATGGCGGGTGCCGTTTATGAACAGCAACCCGCCCCTGGAGTGCCACCGCCCTGCCGTTTAAAAACAGCAGGCGGACAGCAAGTGGTTAAGGAAGGGTGGGCTCCCTCAGGCTCACCTGCCCTCAGTCTATCTACTATGATACATGTGCTTCTACTATGGAGGTTCTCAAAATTTATAGAGTTAGGAACTGCAGAATATTGGGGTGCCGTGAAGGGGCTCTGCATCTTACGCATATATTTGCAAACGCCTGCAAACTAAACACCTGTTTTTAATGCAAATTGTTAGACAGGACAATTCGGTTGGTTGAAGGCTGGTCAGTAAGTTGAGCTGGGAATATTTCTCTCATGTGCTCCTTGCTGTGAAGGCCAGTTATGGATCGGGGCAGCAGCCAATTGTTTTGTAATGTTTTATGGAGCCACACCAGGATTCCAATGGACTCGGATATCCTCTGGCACTGTCTGACTATGACCTCATACCGGCCATCCAACTGTTGTATATCACATGTACGCTCATACCGGCCATCCAACTGTTGTATATCACATGTACGCTCATAGCGGCCATCCAGCTGTTGTATATCACGTGTACGCTCATACCGGCCATCCAACTGTTGTATATGACATGTACGCTCATACCGGCCATCCAACTGTTGTATATCACGTGTACGCTCATACCGGCCCATCCAGCTGTTGTATATCACACGTACGCTCATAGCGGCCCATCCAGCTGTTGTATATCACGTGTACGCTCATACCGGCCATCCAACTGTTGTATATCACGTGTACGCTCATACCGGCCATCCAACTGTTGTATATCACATGTACGCTCATACCGGCCATCCAACTGTTGTATATGACATGTACGCTCATACCGGCCATCCAACTGTTGTATATCACGTGTACGCTCATACCGCCCATCCAACTGTTGTATATGACATGTACGCTCATACCGGCCATCCAGCCGTTGTATATCACATGTACGCTCATACCGGCCCATCCAGCTGTTGTATATCACATGTACGCTCATACCGGCCATCCAACTGTTGTATATGACATGTACGCTCATACCGGCCATCCAACTGTTGTATATCACGTGTACGCTCATACCGGCCATCCAACTGTTGTATATGACATGTACGCTCATACCGGCCATCCAACTGTTGTATATCACGTGTACGCTCATACCGGCCCATTCAACTGTTGTATATCACGTGTACGCTCATACCGGCCCATCCAGCTGTTGTATATCACATGTACGCTCATAGCGGCTCATCCAGCTGTTGTATATGACATGTACGCTCATACCGGCCCATCCAGCTGTTGTATATCACGTGTACGCTCATACCGGCCATCCAACTGTTGTATATGACATGTACGCTCATACCGGCCATCCAACTGTTGTATATCACGTGTACGCTCATACCGGCCATCCAACTGTTGTATATGACATGTACGCTCATACCGGCCATCCAACTGTTGTATATCACGTGTACGCTCATACCGGCCCATCCAACTGTTGTATATCACGTGTACGCTCATACCGGCCCATTCAACTGTTGTATATCACGTGTACGCTCATACCGGCCCATCCAGCTGTTGTATATCACATGTACGCTCATAGCGGCTCATCCAGCTGTTGTATATGACATGTACGCTCATACCGGCCCATCCAGCTGTTGTATATCACGTGTACGCTCATACCGGCCATCCAACTGTTGTATATGACATGTACGCTCATACCGGCCATCCAACTGTTGTATATCACGTGTACGCTCATACCGGCCATCCAACTGTTGTATATGACATGTACGCTCATACCGGCCATCCAACTGTTGTATATCACGTGTACGCTCATACCGGCCCATCCAACTGTTGTATATCACGTGTACGCTCATACCGGCCCATCCAACTGTTGTATATCACATGTACGCTCATACCGGCCCATCCAACTGTTGTATATCACGTGTACGCTCATACCGGCCCATTCAACTGTTGTATATCACGTGTACGCTCATACCGGCCCATCCAACTATTGTATATCACGTGTACGCTCATACCGGCTCATCCAACTGTTGTATATCACGTGTACGCTCATACCGGCCCATCCAACTGTTGTATATCACGTGTACGCTCATACCGGCCCATTCAACTGTTGTATATCACGTGTACGCTCATACCGGCCCATCCAACTATTGTATATCACGTGTACGCTCATACCGGCCATCCAACTGTTGTATATCACGTGTACGCTCATACCGGCCCATCCAACTGTTGTATATCACGTGTACGCTCATACCGGCCCATCCAACTGTTGTATATCACGTGTACGCTCATACCGGCCCATCCAACTGTTGTATATCACATGTACGCTCATACCGGCCCATCCAACTGTTGTATATCACGTGTACGCTCATACCGGCCCATTCAACTGTTGTATATCACGTGTACGCTCATACCGGCCCATCCAACTATTGTATATCACGTGTACGCTCATACCGGCCCATCCAACTGTTGTATATCACATGTACGCTCATACCGGCCCATCCAACTGTTGTATATCACGTGTACGCTCATACCGGCCCATTCAACTGTTGTATATCACGTGTACGCTCATACCGGCCCATCCAACTATTGTATATCACGTGTACGCTCATACCGGCCCATCCAACTGTTGTATATCACGTGTACGCTCATACCGGCCCATCCAACTGTTGTATATCACGTGTACGCTCATACCGGCCCATTCAACTGTTGTATATCACGTGTACGCTCATGCCGGCCCATCCAACTGTTGTATATCACGTTTACGCTCATACCGGCCCATCCAGCTGTTGTATATCACATGTACGCTCATGCCGGCCCATCCAACTGTTGTATATCACATGTACGCTCATACCAGCCCATCCAGCCGTTGTATATCATGTGTACGCTCATACCGGCCCATCCAGCTGTTGTATATCACATGTACGCGCATACCGGCCCATCCAGCCGTTGTATATCACATGTACGCTCATACCGGCCCATCCAGGTGTTGTATATCACACGTACGCTCATACAGGCCCATCCAGGTGTTGTATATCACACGTACGCTCATACTGGCCCATCCAGCTGTTGTATATCATGTGTAGGCTCATACCGGCCCATCCAGGTGTTGTATATCACATGTACGCTCATACCGGCCATCCAGGTGTTGTATATCACACGTACGCTCATACAGGCCCATCCAGGTGTTGTATATCACACGTACGCTCATACCGGCCCATCCAGCTGTTGTATATCATGTGTAGGCTCATACCGGCCCATCCAGCTGTTGTATTTCACACGTACGCTCATACCGGCCCATCCAACTGTTGTATATCACGCGTACGCTCATACCGGCCCATCCAGCCGTTGTATATCACGCGTACGCTCATACCGGCCCATCCAGCCGTTGTACATCACGCGTACGCTCATACCGGCCCATCCAGCCATTGTACATCACGCGTACGCTCATACCGGCCCATCCAGCCGCTGTACATCACGCGTACGCTCATACCGGCCCATCCAGCCGCTGTACATCACGCGTACGCTCATACCGGCCCATCCAGCCGCTGTACATCACGCGTACGCTCATACCGGCCCCATCCAGCCGTTGTACATCACGCGTACGCTCATACCGGCCCATCCAGCCGTTGTACATCACGCGTACGCTCACATACCGGCCCATCCAGCCGTTGTACATCACGCGTACGCTCCTACCGGCCCATCCAGCCGCTGTACATCACGCGTACGCTCCTACCGGCCCATCCAGCCGTTGTATATCACATGTACACTGAAAAACGCAAAAAGCCTAACTGAAAAAACAACTGGGACTATTTAGGTACCATACCAACAACAAAACATATAAGTGTTATAAAAAATCATAACTTTATTATACAATATTAAAAAAAACATGATTGTAGTACAAAACTGAGCATCAACAGGCTCTCTTAAAGCACTTATACCATTGCATGTTGTAAC